ATAATCATATACTAATTTGCTTCTTTTTTTACAAACATGTTTTTCTCTTCCAGATTGTTCTTTCAGTCCACAGGACTAGAGAGAGCATTAAAATAGAAATTGATGGACAAAGATACAAATGGATAATATGTATGTACAAACAAAACAAACATATAATATCCAATGGGCTTCTATAAATCATCTTTTAGCAGGAGTAAAAAACACATAGAACAAATGGGAAAAATATTCGCTACACCATTATGTGTCATCTCTCCAAATATAATCTGTACTATGCTTTAGGTTTTATGACAAAGATCTAAAATTGTTTTCATTGTAAAAGCAACATACCACAATTTCTCCAAAGCGCTGGAAGATGTTGCGAAGGTCATGGTAAGTAGTGGTTTTCTCGAGGTTGCCAATAAAGAGAGTTCTTGTTGCTTTGGGGTGAAATTCATCTATCCTTTCATCCAAGGGGCGAAACTCATTTTCACTCTCTGTTTCTATAAGCAGGATGGGGACAGAGTGAAAAGAAAAGACAGTGTTTTAATGTATATTTACATACCATGTGAAAATCAACATTTAAAAAATAAAATCTCTGAAATAATGGGCTTGAATACTCACACAAACTGAAATATCATAAACGCTTTCAGAAATAGCTGCCCCTTGTTAACTCCAAAGCAAAAGAATACAAAGGCTAAAGAAACTTGTCAAAAAAAATTAAGGATGAAGTAACACTTTGTTTAACCTTTAAAACAAAAATGGGTTGAATTTAAATGTGCTAAGTTGATTTGTTTTAAAAATAATCACTGACAAAGAAATAGATTTTAAGCCCTAGCAAAAATAATTATTTGAGCCTAATCTTAGGATGCAAAATTATGTAGCAGGTTCTCAATCTGGGGTATAAAACTACAATCTGAAATAGACATAAAAACTTGTCTGAAAATAGTCCAGCTTCCTTATTCAACTTCATTTACTTTTCAACATTTTACAAGATATTTAGCATTTCATGTTTATCTAATTAACAACTACTTAAATGTAGGAATTTTAGATTCAAGAATACTGTATGAAAACTGACTGAAACAACATTTATCAAATATCTTCTTTTGGTATTATATGGTCCCCACTGACAAACAAAAAGAGGTTAAATGATATTTAAGATTTCTATTTTTTATGATCAAAAGCCCTGGCTTAATTTCTTATTCAATCATAGCCTTTCTCTGAAGCTCCATTTATTAACTTGGTCTAGGGCAGGGACATACAAGGTTTTGTTGATAACAATTATAGTACAATACTGCATGTTCTCTTTTTTCCCTTAATCTAAAACAAAGCCATCCCCCCAAAATTAATATTTAATCAACTTTACTGAAACAAAGTGTTTAGTGCCAGCTATTGAACATTACTGATGATGTCAATGCAACACTGGTATTAAAAAACTCAACTTCAGAACTACTGAGTGAATTCGGCCAGAATACACCTCACTTCTGATTCCAGATTGCTGGTTCTAAAATGGTAGTTCAGCTTAATCTTAAGTAGTTTCATCAAAGAACATGTACTTTAACAGAGTTAGGACCCAGAAACTGCCCAGAGCTCATACTAGCTGTCTCCGTACTTTCACCGTATCTCAAAGGGGCATATTTTACTTTAAGTTCAACTCAATCTTCTTGAAGCTATCTAATAGTGGGCAGATATTTAACAGTATTTCCCAAAAAATGCAACAGAAAAAATAATTCAGATGCATCTTGAGGTGTGTACTCTGAAGGGCAGAGTAAGTAAGGGAAGGCATGATTTGCAACCATTAAGATCTGTCATGGCTTCATTCGTACCGAACAGCTTGGTAAATTTTCAAAATCGGAAACTCAGTAAGCAAAGAAAAAAAAGGTGTTTTCCACATGCAGAATACTTAACCTTTGTGACCAGTCAAAATCTTAATACCTACACATACTTGGAAAAACGTCGTTTATCCTGTAATATCGTGTTTAGGGGATTCTAATGCTATGCATAGGATTAAGAAAATAAAAGTATAATCTTAGAAGCCACCAGGGGTCTATCAGCAAAGGTAGGTTCCCTGGATTTGGATCTTTTAAAAAGGTCCTTGAGGACTGCCCAGGCAACAGAGAGAGACTCTGTCTTTATTTTAAAAAAAAGAAGAAGAAGAAGAAAAAAAGTCTTTGACCTAAGCAATCATTTCAATATAACATATTCAACTGCTTTCAAATATCCTATTAAACTGGTATTTAATGTTGTCCCATCCGGGAAAAGTATCTTCAACTTTCCAGTGCTTGAACCAACTAAACTTTCCAAAATCTTCACTAGCAAGTGGTTAAAAGCTCAACTATTTCCTGGAAGCTAGTTAGGTAAAAAAGCTTTTTACGGTAAAAATCTTAAGCTAGCCCTTACCATTTGGAAACCACAGTCACCTACTGAATGCTCCTGGTAAGATCTTCATTACTTAATTATGATTAGCTCTAAAAACTTAAATTATAAGACATTCTAAATATTATTCCTCAAGCAGTTATGACCCATTCCATATGTGTTAAATTTTAAGAATGAGAGTTCTCTGGGCTCAGTATAATTTAAGGTAGAACATCTCAAACTTGACAGAGGAAGGAATGTGAAGGCATAACCTACACATTCCTTTGAAAAGATAATATTCCTTTGAATTCCTATATTTCATTGTAAAATTAGGCACATTTTGCAGTATTCACTCTAACTCTGTGCCTATTTTAATATACAAATAACATTTACATGTCCTTATCAGGAAAATTATATTTTTTTCCTCTTGTCAAATAAAATGAATATTTCAAGAATATTCATGTTTACCTTATAAATGGGCCATGTTTATGATATAAATTCCACTCAAAGTCTTAGTCTTAAAGCTCAATTGTCTCAGTTTCACAAGGTACGAGCAGAATTTTTAATGTTTCTATTCATTCCTTTACAAATTTACCCGCAAGTTGCCTTAAATCAGGGGTTCCCAAACTTGAATGCGTAAATTCTCAACCAGTAAGCTGAGGTAGGGTCAATAGACCTGCCTTTCTTTTCTTTTTTTTAACTCATCACTATACAATTGAGAAATCTGCATTTTTAAATAAGCACTACAGGTAGTTCTGAAACAGGAGAAACACTGACCCAAGCCATGCCTGAGAAGACTTCCTGCCTTCCAATAGGTCTTACAGGTAGGTTCAAGCTAATAAAATGTTCTCTTGAAATTCTCAATGGGTTGCACCCATAAGCCTTAGTCTTACTTCTGTCACCATCTTTCAAGGTCACACAAGCTAGAATAACAGATCCAATTTATGCTGGGCATAACAGAAATAAAACAGGTCTAATCAGTCCCTCAAAATGATATTAACAAGTCTGCTTTCTGATTCAGGATAATTCTGTTGTCATTCTCCTAGGAACTATCTCCTAATTTTAATCAATTCAATCCTTTTGGGAAGGCTGGACTCAACAAGGGCCTCAAGCTCTTACTTTCAGACTCTTAAAAGTCAGTATTTCTCCAATGTAGAAATAGAAAAATCTTTACCCTACCTCACCAAAATAATGTTTTTTTATGAAGCTGAACAGTAAGTCTTAGTCTTAAAGCTCAATTGTCTTAGCTTCACAAAGAAAGAGCAGAATTTTAATGTTTCTATTCATTCCTTTACAAATTTACTCATGAGTTGCCTTAAATCAGGGGTTTCCAAACTTCAGTGTGTAAATTCTCAATCGGTAACCCTTGAAAATAGAAGACAGTGGAAGTATGACAATAAATAAAGCTAGAATAGTGTCCACATTCAAGGTAATATGCTACCCTCTCATAAACTGGAATACAAATAATGTATGTAATTTGTAATTAAAACTCAGCTTCCTCCTCTCTTACCTGGTCCTATCCATGCTGTTACTTCAATCTGCATGCCAAAGAAAAGTTTTCCTTTTGATGCAGTCAATGCTTTTTCTTGGTCCTCTTGCTGCCGAAAAAATACCAGACCATACCTCTCTTCTGAAGCTCCATGTATCTGCACTGAAGTCACCTTTCCAAATTTCTTAAATTCATGAAAAAGGCCATCTTTAAGGCTTGTATCTAAATCCCCAAACAAAAATAAGTTATTTATTTTTCTAATTTAATTACAATTAAATCAAGGTTATATAGTGAGCTATGATTGTGCCACTGTACTCCTGCCTGGGCAACAGAGCAAGACCCTGTCTCCAAAAAAGAAAAATTACAACTTTGTAAGCAAGCTACTAAATCTTTAGCTGGACTTTTTTTTTTTTTCACATTGGACAGGTAATGTGCCAGTGTCATAAGAAGGTTAGAGGGAGGCATGCCTCATATGTTAGTGTGAAAACCCAATCATCACCCTTATGAACCACAAAAGTTTCTAGCCTCATCTAGCCTGACTTTTGACTTAAGTTGTTATCATTAAAACATTACTTTTTCAAATTAAGAAAAAACTCTAAAGACATTTTTTTTTTTTTTTTTTTTTTT